AGTTCCAGCAGTTTTTACAGGAGATGGGTGCAGAGCATGGAGACGTGCCATACCACACAGAAGTAAGATGGCTGAGCAAGAGCGCAGTCCTCAAAAGATTTTTTGAGCTCAGAGAACAAATTGCTCTTTTCATGGAAAGTAAAGGAAAGCCCTTGCCTGAACTGTCGGATCCCGCCTGGCTATGTGATTTTGCTATGATGTGTGACATATGCGAGCATCTCGCCCAACTGAATCTGAAGCTGCAGGGACGCAAACAAGTCATCACGAAGATGTCTGACATGATCACAGCATTCCAGCGTAAACTTCAACTATGGAAGTCCCAACTGGAACAGGACAATCTTGCCCACTTTCCCGTTTGTTTGAGTATCTCAACCACTATTTCTGGTACTTTTCCTTGCAGTCGGCTGGCTACCAAAGTTAGCCGTTTACTAAGTGAATTTGAGCGGCGCTTCTCTGACTTTAGAACACAGCACTCAGGCTTTGACATCTTTGCCAATCCTTTTACAGTTGATGTCAACAATGTGCCCCATCACCTTCAGATGGAGATAATCGAGCTTCAGTCTGACAGTGGCCTGAAATCAAGGTTTCAGGATGTTGAAATTGAGGACTTCTACCCTCTACTGCCCCCTGACTCAATGCCAGAGCTCCGACTTCATGCTGCCCGTATTCTATCCGTGTTCGGGAGCACCTATCTTTGTGAACAGATGTTTTCAATAATGAATCTGAACAAAAACAAGCACAGATCACGCATTACCAATGACAACCTCCATGCTGTTTTGCGGGTTGCTACAGACCAAGAAATAAAACCGAACATTGACTCATTGATCCGGGGAAAACAATGTCAGACATCTAGCCAGAAAACAAAACAATGAGCATTTTAGGTACATTCCAATATTGCTGTTTTGCTTGATACCAATATTACTGTTTTGCTTGATAGCATGTGAGTTGGTTAACAGCACTGTTAAGGAAAAGATTGTTCCACTCATTTTAAATTCACATTTCTGGCTAACATTGTCAGTTTATGACTGTTCAGTAAACCATTCAGCCCGCGATTTAGGCTGGATTTTAGATTTTGGCCCCTTCTCTGAGTTCGACACCCCTGATATAGACAGTTTACAACTGCTTTTAAAAAAAAATCAAATAGATATACAGTAGTCCCCCGCTTATCTATTCTCTCCATACTTTCAGTTTCCATGATTAACCACAGTTTGAAAATATTAAATGGAAAATTTCAGTAATAATAAGTTTTACATTGCATTGCTGTTTTGAGTAACATTATGAAATCTCACACCATCCTGCTCCATCTCCAAGAGAGAGACATCCCTATGAACAGCATATCTACACTGGATAAGCTTCCCACCTGTTACTTAGTAGCATCTCAGTTATCAGATTAACATTATTGCAGTACTTGTGTTCAGTAAACCTTATTTTAATAATAACCCCAAAACTAAAGAGTAGTGATGCTGGCAATTTGACTATGCCAAGGAAAAGCCATAAAATGCTTCCTTTTTTAGGTGGAAATGGTGTAGAGGAAAAAACAGCATATATAGGGATCTTGGAACATATGTACTAGGAAAATGGGAAGTATTGTAACAAAACATATGCAAAGCTTGTATATAATGCTGATGAAAGAAATTGAAGAATATGAAATAATGGGGAGAAATATTATGCTCATAAGTTGGAAAACTCAACATAGTAGAGATATAAATTCTCCCTAAAATGATACACAGATTTAATGTCATTCCTATAAAAATGCCAGCAAAATTAGACTAATCTAAAATTTATAATTAAAGACAAAAGAACTAGAATAGCCAAAAAAAAAAATTGAAAAATAGAATTGAGAAGAATCAGTCTATTTTATTTCAAGACTTATTAAGTTATAGGAATCAAGACTGTAATATTAGAAAAAACAGAAATAGATACACACAAATATGCTCAACTAATTTCTGACAAAAGTGCAAAAGCAATTCAATAGAAGACAGACAGCCTTTTTGACAAATGGTGATGGAGCATGGCAAAACAATGATCCTCAATCTAAGACTCAAACCTTATATAAAATTTAATTCAAAATGGGTCATGGGCTTAAATGCAACACATAGACTGGAAAACTTTTAGAAGAAAAAATAACGAAATATCATACTTTTGCGATCTAGGGTTAAGCAAATAATTCTTAGACTTAATAAAAGTACAATCCATGCCCTAATCGATTTGGCTCAATGGACAGAGCATTGGCTTGCGGACTCAAGAGTCTCAGGTTCGATTCCGGTCAAGGGCATGTACCTTGGTTGCGGGCACATCCCCAGTAGGGGTGTACAGGAGGCAGATTGATGTTTCTGACTCTCTCTCCCTCTCCTTTCCTCTCTGTAAAAAAAAAAAAAAAATCACAACCGTACAATCCATAAGAAGAAAAATGAAAATGGTTTATAAAAATTAAAAATGTTTGTTTAATAATAAGAAAAAAACTACAGACTAAAACATTTGCAAATCACATATCAAGGAAGGACTAGTATTTAGAATATACTAAAAACAAAACAAAACAAAACAAAACTCTAAAACCAACTATTTAAAAAATCCAATTAGAAAATGGACCAAAGGCTTTCACCGAAGCGAATATGCAGATGGCAAATAAACCATGAAAAGATGTTTAACATAATTAGCCATCATGGAAACAAATTAAAACCACAATAAATCACTATATACCTATCAGATGCCTAAATAAAAGATAGGAACTCCAAATGCTGGTGAGGATGTGGAGAATCTGCTCTCTCATACATTGCTGATAGGAATGGAAAATGTGCAAAAATGCTAGGAAAGTTTAGCAATTTCTTATAAATCTTTACACACAGCTACTAGGGGACCCTGTAACTGTACTCCTGGGAAATTATCCCAGAATACTGAAGTCTTATGTGTTGTTCATTATTTTACATGTTACTATACAGCAACTTTATTCATTAATAGCCCAACAATGGAAACAACCTAGATGTCCTTCAAATGTGCTACATCCATACCATAGAATACTACTCAGCAATTAAAAAGAACTAATGAAACATGCAACAACCTAGATGAATCTCTAGAGAATTTTGCTGAGTGAAAAAAGTCCAATCCCAAAAGGTTAAATATTGTGTGACTCTTTAAATAATAGTCATGAAATGACAAAATTATAGAAAGGAATAACAAATGAGTGATTGTTGGAGATTAAGGAGGTGGAGTGGAAATGAAGTGGGTATGAGTATAAAAGGGATCATTCTGGAATGTAAAGTTCTCTATGTTAACAATCAATGTCCTGGTTGTGATCTTGTACAATGGTTTTGCAAATATTATTATTGAATAAAGCTAAATAAAGGGAATCTCTATGGCATGTAAATCTACAACTGTCTCAAAATGAAAAGTTTAATTAGAAAATACATAAAGGTAGCCTTACTATTGAACTGCAAAATAAGTGCAGTTAACAAGAAATCCAACACCAATTAAATGAAGCGCTTGCTTCAGGAGAAGTTTAATTCTGAAGATTACGCACCAAAGTTTATTAAATACGTTTTTCTCACCCACACATACACATACACAAACACAGCCACTTCAAGTAACAAGGCAGTTCAGAAAGAAAAACCGTGACTCCTCTAAGTACATCATAGAGGAGGAGACCTGGCAGAATCAGGGCTGTGGGGGCTCTGTCACAGAAACGCTGTGTATCTTGGACTCATCACCTAACCTCTCAGGCTGCAGTCGGTAAGCTGTTCCTACAATGGAACCTCTGACTCTAGACACTGCTTAGACCAGTCTCAAACTTTTTGGTCTCAGGCCCCCCATAGAGCTTTTGTTTGCCGGGATTACAACCATTGATATTTGTAGTACTAGAAATTAAAATAAAAAATTTACACAAGTGTGCACAGAGACCATTCCATCGGTGAGGGACGGTGAGGTCCACATCACGTAGCCTCTGAAAAACAACCTACACTCACAAGGGAGCAAGTGTGGAAAAGGCAAATGATAGCTTGCTGGCTTCAAATGAGATAAAAACATGTAACTGGTTTGAAAGGTATAAAACCCCGGACAGCTCAGTCACCCGTCTTTTAATGCACGAGGGTCCCAAGGTCCCCCCAAAAGCGGGTGGAGGAATCGAATTTTAGCGGAGGACCAGGAGGAGGTTCGCGCGCCGGACGCCGAGTGTCGAGTCAGGGAAAAGCCACGACTGCAGAAGATCGCCCAAAACCGTTATAAACGCACGGACCCACAATCACTGTTTCCCATTTAACTTTCGGCGAAGGCGGGAAGCCCTGCAAAAAGTTGAGCGCTCCGCCCGGCGCAGAGGGCTGGGGCACCTCGCGCGCCGGATGCGGGCCACCCGCCGACGCCCGCGGACCGAGGGGGTGAGAGGGTCCCGTTCCTCCTACAAGGGGACCACGGAGCCCGCAAGGACCCAGGACCCGGAGGGTGGGACCCACCGCCGCCCGACCGGACGTGCGGGAGGAAGTTACGTTGGGACCCCGGGACCGGCGAGGCGGAGACCCTGGGAGCCCGGCCCCGGGGGTCGCCTGGACTCACCAGGTGCCGCGCCTCCTCAGAGCTCATGGTGCCGGCGGGAGCAGGGCGAAGCGAGCCGAGGGCGGGCGGAGCGGCGGCCTCGCCACCACCGGAGCAGCGTCGGCGGAGGGAGCGGGGGTCCGGGAAGGGCTCTGGCCGCGGGGGGCGGGCCGGAGGCGGCGCCACAGGGAGGGGCGGGGCCAAGCCGGCGGCCTCAGTGACGCGGGCGCGAGCGAGCCTCTCACAGGGGAGTCCCTCGACGTGTGGCGGGACGAGTCAGTGCGGGGCCAGTGGCTGCAGGACCCTGGCCGGAAGGGAGAGGGGATGCGGCCAGGACTGCTCAGCCGGCGGCGGGCCGAGGCACTCCCGCGCAAGGGCCGGAAGTGGGCGGGCCCGGGCCGTGTCCGCGGGCGGTCGGCGGGAGCCGAGATTGCGGCCGCGGGGGGACCGGAAGTGGGCGGGACGGGGCGGCGCCGGCGGAGGCGTGTTCGCGCGGGGCGCGGCCCTGTGAGCTAGTGGGGCGTCTCCCGCCGCAGAGCGGCGGCTGGGGTTTCGCGGAGCCCGCACCTGGGAGCGCACCGCGATGGGGCCGGGCTGAGCCTCCCGCCGCCGCCCGCAGCCAAGCGAGCAGCGCGGTCCCCAATGGAGGGCCCGGCGGAGCTCGGCGCCGAGGCGGTGCTGCGCTTCCTCGCGGAGCGCGGGGGCCGGGCCCGGCACGCCGAGCTGGTGCAGCACTTCAGGGGTGCCCTGGGCGGCGAGCCCGAGCGGCGCGCCCACTTCAAGGAGCTGGTCAATGCCGTGGCCACTGTTCGCACCGACCCCGCCGACGGCTCCAAGTATGTACACCTTAAAAGGAGGTTCTGCGAAGGCCCACAGTCACCCAAGGCCGCGCCCCCTCGGGACCTGCCCCGCATTTCGGTGACTGCAGAGCCCGAGCCCCACGGAGGCGGTGACCCTGAGGATTCGGACAACCCGGCCAACAGCCGGGAGAGCGGGTTGTGCCCTGAGGCGGGTCCGCGCAGTGAGGCCGGCGATGAAGAGTCTTCCTCCGCCGCGCTTGGGCCGCCCCTGCACGGCGGGGCCCGGAGAAAGAACTCGCGGCGCGGCGCGCAGCCTCCGGCCCGAGCACCAACCCCCGAGCCCAGCGAGGACCTGGAACCCCAGCCCCAGGTCTGCGAGGAGGCGGACGGAGGGAGCTCTCCCGGGGGAACCACCACCCCCAGGTCTACTCGCCAGAACCTCCGGGACCTTGTGATGGGTAACTCCCCGCAGCTGAAGAGGAGCTGCTCTGGGGGAGGACGCGGCAAAGGCGGGGGCGACTCGGACAGCGCTTCCGTTGCTTCGTCGTCGGCCGAGGAGGAGATGAGCAGCGGGGCCTCGGTGACGCTGGACCCTTTAGAACACGCCTGGATGCTCTCCGCCTCGGACGGCAAGTGGGACAGCCTAGAAGCGCTGCTCACCTGTGAGCCTGGCTTGCTGACCAAGCGGGACTTCATCACCGGCTTCACTTGCCTGCACTGGGCAGCCAAGCACGGCCGACAGGAGCTCCTGGCCATGTTAGTCAATTTCGCCAACAAACACCAGCTGCCAGTGAACATCAACGCCAAGACGAGTGGAGGCTACACCGCCCTGCACTTGGCAGCCATGCATGGGCACGTGGAGGTGGTGAAGTTGCTGGTGGGGGCCTACGACGCAGACGTGGACGTGAGGGACTACAGTGGGAAGAAGGCCTCGCAGTATTTGAGTCAGAGCATCGCGGAGGAGATCAAGAACCTGGTAGGAGCCCTGGACGAGGACGATGGTGAAAGTGCCACAGGCAGCGGGGGTGGGCGCTGGAGGCTTTCAAAAGTGCTTCCTTCCCACCTGATCACCTACAAACTCTCGCATGTCCTGGAGGATGGAGGGGATCACCACCACCACCACCACCACCACCTGGCTGAGGGATCTGCAGGAGGCAAAGCAAAGGACCCAGGTCGCAAAGCCTCTGGCAGCTCTAGTGGGCGAATAAAACCCAGACTCAACAAAATCCACTTCAGAACCCAGATCATCCACACCACACCCTTTTTCAGAGATCCGGAGCAGCCCCTGGAAGAGGGGGAGCAAGAAGAAGAGGATCGATCTCTTAAAGGCCACTTACCCTCATTCAAATTGAGACCGAAGTCCAATGTATTTGGATAAAAATAATTTTTTAGAAAATTCTAAGGGTTATTTGTCTGAACTACAATACTAGAGGCAGGCGAGTAAACGAGACCAGAAAAGACTTAGGCTAAATCAGGCATTCTGGCTTTGGGGGGTTGGAGTCGGGGAGGGCTGAAGGAGGGGAGTTTCGCCTGCCTACTATTCTGAGTGAGGTGGCTTTCCAAACGATTCATCAAACCTTGCCCTAGGCTTCTTTTCTCCATGCCATTCCTCTGTTTGTAAAGACTATAGATGTATCTAAATTGGAGGTACAGAATTGATGACTGAGGGTTTCTTTGATTTGACCATTATTGGATGCCATGCTAAGTGAGGAATATTGCTCGTTCATGATTGTTAAAAGTGGTTACTCTTCCAAAAACAAAATATGCAAATTGTAATGAAACTGGTAATATTTGTTAAGTTTGAACAAAAACTAATTACATTTGCTTTTTAAGATTTTTACAAAGGTCCAGGTAAGAGTTGAAATGCAAAGATTCTAATTAGAAAATGAATAAAAATGGGAATCCTTTTGTATTGTTAAGTGTTCACCTGTTTTTGAAAAGCAATTTCAGCTTTCATCACTGAACTAAAGAAATAAACAACATTCACTTTTAGTTAATCTGCAGTATGCTTTCCTCTTAACTATCATACTGCACTTAGTATTAAGGTGCATTACTAATAACTATCCAAATTTTTATTTAAAGAAAATACCTTGAACAACCTACGGTACTTTTAAGTAAAATATTGCGTGTGGTTCCGATTCTCACTGACTTGTTTTGCTATTCTAAAAGTCTAAATTTGCTGAAGTTTTTATTCTGGGGTTATATAACCATTCTTTCTATTTGACATGATCCTATTATAGTTGATGAAGCTTATATTTGAAGCCTACAGAACTGTTTCTGGTTTAGATGATTAGCAAAAATTGGCATAAGTACGTGAACCTATGCTTCTCTCAAGTAATTATTAAATCAATCTAAGGTACACTTTTTGTTTTACTAATAAAACATGCTCATAGTTTATGCTTTTTAGCAATATTGTGCAAATATTTAAAATACTAAATCCTTTCAATTTTTCATTTTTTCCTTGAATCTAAATAGACATACAGTGAAGTTAATGAGAAGCTGGATGGTAACTCTACCCAGTTAAAAATGGCACTTTATAAAAGGGAAAAGAGAAGAGATTGTACTATTTCTATATTTAAATACTACTGGCTATTGAATTTCTTTTCATGTAAGTGAAAAATACCAGTCATCAAAATTAAAAACTTACACATGATTCTTAATTACATTCCATTCAAATACATTAGTGTGAATATTTTATAATTGTAAAATTTAACTCACAAGCAAATTAAATCTATTTGTAGCAAGATTCAAAACAACTTTCCTGGGAGACTAATTCCACAAGTCCTTCTTTAGTTTTTTTGGTCTCATTATTGATGAAACAAGTACCTGCAGCTTATAGAGATTAAGAGGTGAGTTGACTTGCAGAGTGAATGAACCAATATATGAATTGTATACCACTGCAGTCTTTAGAGAGGTCTTAGATCTTTAATTTCCCCAAGTCATAGAAATTTGTAACAAGTTTATCACACATCTCTAGAGTGAATTTGTTTAAAGATTAATGAATATTCACATAAAAAATATAAACTATTATCCATTTATGTGCCTTTATTTTTTTAGGATTATGGAAATGGGGCCATATACATTTGAGAAGCACTTTTTCCATACATATGGGTGAAAATCTAATTTTGTATAAATTAAAAGTAGATTCCTTGAAGGTGAAAGCCACTATTTGCTCTGAATCTTATACGCATTACCTATATCTAGTGAAGAATAAGCTATACCTTCCCACTGAAGAATCTTATCTTTCATTGACATGTAAAGCTAAAGTGAACTATAAAGAATAGACACTTCAGAACCACCTCAATATTCTATTAAACAATCAGTATTAAGCTCTTAAATGTGTATGTTACTAATTGCACAAAAATCTGTAATTTGCTAGATCTTTAGAGATTGAGCTGATAATTCATATAACTTCCTTTTCACAGAGATTTTAACTTTTCTGATAAAATTGACTTTAAATTTTTAAAAATCATTCCTGAGGGAAAACTTGTACATTCCTTGTCACAGTGTGCTCATGTAGCATTTTCAGCTACTTAATTCTAATTCCTCTTATTTTTCAATTTCCAATTTAAGATTATACAGAGCAAATTATTTGTGTAATTTGATATCTGTGAAGTTGTATTTACCATTAATGGAAATTATGTCAGTTACTTAGATGGAAGGAAACTCAAGAATGTCTGTGTGTTCTTTTATAGGTACATTTGAAACTAATGAATGTATGTCATAGTTCTCTTCACATTTATGGTATATAAAATGCAACCAGCTTATATAACTTGAAAATCTGGTACTATTTTATTCATACCTTAAATTGGGGTGTCCAGGATGCCTTGTCTTTTATTTTTTAAATAAGTGAAACTTTGGGAGCTTAGAATGTAAAATTTAAGGTTTGTTTTGTCAAAATAAAAGGTTCATACTAGATTTTTTTTCTCTGAATCTTCTAAATATCTCTAGTCCTTTATTATGTTTTATGGTTCATACAATGATTTTTGACGTTTCAGTTTATTTGGTCTCTTCCTATCCCTTGAAGTTATTGATCATGTATCCCTAATCCTATGTAATAAAAGCCCAGTAACCAAAACGGTGGAATGACCAGATGACTAGAGACCAGAATGACTGAGGCCCCTCCCCTTGGCCGGCCCTACCCTCTAGACTCTAGAGGGACCCCCAACCCAATCTGGAGCCTTCATCAGGTCAGGCCAGCCATCCCCTACCTGTGCACTGGGGCTCTACTATATAATAAAGAGCCAGGGTCGTAACTGTTACCACCGAAGGCTCAACCAGACCAGAAGTCACTGACATAGCCCCAACCCAGCACTGACTGCCTAGGGGGCTGCAAGATCAGGCCTGGAGAGAGACCTGCGGAGAGAGAGGCAGGGTCTGATCCATAGCCTGTGTGGCAGTCCTTGATCAGAACTTGCCTCTCCCAGCCTGGCCAATATCCATGCCTCCATTTCTCTCCAGGCTTCCACTGATTAGCTCTGCCTTTTCCATTGATAGGCCAAGATGCTGACTGGCATAGAAACTGACCGATCAACCAAATCTGGGTCAACTGTGAGGAGCCAGTGGCTGCCCAGGAGGTGGAGATTTTGATGCTGACTGGAATAGAAACTGACCAATCAGAACCAAATTGGCTGGCAGAGGAGGGCAGTTGGGGGCAAGATCAGGCCAGCAGGGGAGGACAGTTAGGGGTGATCAGGCAGGCAGAGGCAGTTAGGGGTGATCAGGCTGGCAGGGGAGGGCAGTTGGGGGTGAGATCAGGCCAGCAGGAGAGGGCAGTTGGAGTGAGATCAGGCCAGCAGGAGAGGGCAGTTAGGGGTGACCAGGCAGGCAGAGGCAGGCAGGGGTGATCAGGCTGGCAGGGGAGGGAAGTTGGGGGTGAGATCAGGCCAGCAGGAGAGGGCAGTTGGGGTGAGATCAGGCCAGCAGGGGAGGGCAGTTAGGGGTGACCAGGCAAGCAGAGGCAGTTAGGGGCTATGAGGCAGGAGGAGAGGGCAGTTAGGAGCGATCAAGCAGGCAGGCAGAGAGGTTAGGGGCTATCAGGCAGGCAGGCAGAGGGGTTAGGGGTAATCAGGTAGGCAGGCAAGTGAGTGGTTAGGAGCCAGCAGTCCCAGATTATGCGAGGGGTGTTGAAAATTGTAAAATTGATATTAAGTTTTACCTTACAAGTTGACTCAAGTACATAATCCCTAGGAGAATAATATATTTTTTAATTGATTTTTTACAGAGAGGAAGGGAGAGAGATAGAAAGTTAGAAACATCAATGAGAGAAAAACATCAATCAGCTGCCTCCTGCATACCCCACACTGGGGATGTGTCCGTAATCAAGGTTGACCGGAATCGAACCTGGGACCTTTCCGTCAGCAGGCTGACGCTCTATCCACTGATCCAAACCGGTTTAGGCGCTAGGAGAATCTTTTAACTCTACATTCTTCTTATTTTTTAATTTCCAAATTGAGATTATAAAAATCAATTTATGGAGTTATATTTATCATTAATTGAAGTTATGTCTATTGTTTAGATGTTTGTTTATATAAAACTGTCACTGGAAAACTCAAGTTTCCTAGATTTAAATATATTATTATCAGTATACAAAAGCTCCAACAAGCAAAATAAGATGATGTTTAGTTTTGCCTAGAGGACTTTGTAATAGTCATTTAAAGCTTGCCATGAACTGTCTCAAGAGGTGGAACACTCAACCTTTGGAAAGAATTGGTCAGAGGTTATGTAAGCATTTGAAAAGTTAAAATCCATCATTTAAAGCATCCCTGTGACTGATTGTGTCTTGAGAAACTTTGCTCTATGGTCAGCAAACTCATTAGTCAACAAAGCCAAATATCAACAGTACAACAATTTAAATTTCTTTTGAGAGCCAAATTTTTTAATATTAAACTATTATATATAGGTAGGTACATTATTAGGGTACTCTTAAGCTGGCCTTTACTAAAAAACTCAAGGAGCCAAAGAGCTGCATATGGCTGGTGAGCTGTGGTTTGCCGACCACTGCTCTAGGCCATATCCACACTGACCAAAGGTTCAGCCAAAACTGGCCTAACTGAGAATGAAATTAACCAGAGAAATAGGGTCACTTATGTTTTTGTGTTTTGTTTTTTTAAACACAACTTTATGCTGTTCTGATCAGAGAACCTGGAAATACCCCTTTGAATACTCTTCTGGGTCTCTAAGAAATATTGAGTTTAATAGTCTACAAATATAATTGAATATTCTTGAAATTTGTCCAGAATTGTCTGATATTGACAAATGTGATCTTTAAGCTTTGTTTAGTCTGTTTTTTTTTTTTTTTTTTTTAACAGAATAATAGATTAGGTGAGTTATAAACAATAGAAACCGATTTTGCAATTATGGAGGTTGAGAAGTCCAAGGTCAAGGAACTGGTAGATTCCCTCTCTGATGTGAGCCTGCTTCGTGGTTCATAGGCATTTGTCTATTTGAAACTAGACAATCAATGGGTCTGGTCTGCCTGTCACTACTTGAGCCAAATCATCAAAGACAGTTGAAGCATGTGTGAGTGTTTATTCCAATACTGCTAGTAGTATGAGAGAGCAGCAGGTCATCTGCAAAAATCTGCTCTGCAGCCCCCTATAAACCAGCTGTTTATATAGGATAGGACAAAGATTACATGGGGAAGTTGGCAATGCAGGCTAAGTGGGACTCCATTGTTTGGGCAACAAGGTTGTTAATCTTCCCATAATAGGCAATTCCTGAATAAGATTGTATTACATTCCAAGGTTGACTCCTAGGTCCAAGGTTGACTCCCAGGTCCTGGCAGTGTACAACTCCCAGCTATGTCAGAATGTCCTTTCTTTAACCAACACAAGGTAATCATGGTTAACTGAGCATGGGCATCATTAATATTTCCCATAACCATAGCTATTCTCCGATATTCTATTTTTGCCCCTAACATATTTACTGTGTCCTCACATGACAGAAGGGAGTTCTCGGGGGTCTCTCTCTCTCTCTCTCTCTCTCTCTCTCTCTCTCTCTCTCTCTCTCTCTCTCTCTCTCTCTCTCTCTTTTAGTTGAAATCTTTATTGTTGAAAGTTTACATATGTCTGAAGTCTTTTTTTTTTTATTAAGGGTAGTACCTTCATGACTTACCTCCAAAGGCCCTACCTCCTAATCCCATCACACTAGAGATTAGGTTTCAACATATGAATTTGGGGGTGACAAGCATTCAGTGTGGATGAAAAGGGGCCACATGCTAACCTGACAAGTTCAGGGAAGTTCATATCCAAGGCCTGTGTAGTGACCTTAAAAACTCAGGGACAAAAAAAAACAAAAAACAAAACAAAAAAAAACTCAGGGACCTAAAGTAACCACAAAGGATGATCTGAAATTAAAACACTTTTTAAAAGCAATTTATGGCAGTTTATGTCCTAGGCTAGAATCTTCCCTGACAAAAGTCAATCTTTACCTTAATTAAGCCTGTCTATTGTCTTTTGCATCTATGATAACATACCTTGGGAATGTCAGGATAACTTCCCTTTTTGGGGACCCTCAGGGCACAACCAAAGCACCAAAGCAGAGACAACAAATGTTGTTGTTGTTGTTGTTGTTGTTTAAATCTTTATTGTTCATATTATTATAAATGTTCCTCTTCCCCCCCACCCCTTTGTTGCTCTCCTCCACCAGGTTCCCACCCCACCCTCTGCCCTTTCCCCACCCCACATTGTCTCATCCATAGGTGCACAGTTTATGTTCAGTCTCTTCCCACACACCCCTTTCCCTTTTCCCCAAGAATCCTCTGATTCTATTATATTCAACAGTTAATATTGTCATCAGATTTTTTTTTAATTTTCTTGGTTTTTAGATTCACTTGTTGATAGTTACGTATTTGTTGTTCATAATTTTTTAAAAATATATTTTATTGATTTTGTACAGAGAGGAAGGGAGAGAGATAGAGAGTTAGAAACATCGATGAGAGAGAGTCATCGATCAGCTACCTCTTGCACACCCCCTACTGGGGATATGCCCGTAACCAAGGTACATGCCCTTGACCTGAATCAAACCCGGGACACTCCAGTTCCCAAGCCGACGCTCTATCCACTGAGCCAACCTGGTCCCGGCTGTTGTTCATAATTTTTATCTTTATTTACTTTCTCTTCCGAAAGAACCCCTTTCAGCAATTCATATAATTCTGGTTTGGTGGTGATGAACTCCTTTAGCTTTTTTTTATTAGTGAAGCTCTTTATCTGACCTTCGATTCTGAGTGATAGCTTTGCTGGATAGATTATCTTTGGCTGTAAGTTCTTACTATTCATCACCTTGAATATTTCTTGCCATTCCCGTCTGGCCTGCATGGTTTCTTTTGAGAAATCAGCTGACAATCGTATGGGTGCTCCTTTATAGGTAACTACCTACTTTGATCTTGTTGCTTTTAATATTCTCTCTTTGTCTTTTGCTCTTGGAATTTTAATTATGGTTTGTCTTGGTGTGGTCTTTTTTGGATTCCTTTTGTTTGGAGTTCTGTGTGCTTCCTGGACTTGTAAGTCTAATTCTTTCACCAGGTGGGGGAAGTTTTCTGTCACTATTTCAGTATGTTTTCGATATCTTACTCTCTCTCATCTTCTGAGACCCCCATAATTCTGATGTTGGTTTGCTTGAAGTTGTCCCAGAGGTTTCTTACATTATCTTCAACTTTCTGGATTCTCTTGTCTTCTTGCTTCTGCAGAGGAGTGTCTTCTGGCTCTTTATGTTCCAAATCTTTGACTTGATTCTTGCGATCTTCCATTCTGTTTTTAGGACTCTGTATAATATTTTTTATTTCAGACAATGTATTGTTTATTTTTTGTTGATCCCTTATTATTTCTTGTTGATTCCTTATTAATTCTAGTTGATTCCTTTTCATATCCTCATAGGTCTTATCGACCTTTTCTAGGAAATTCTTGAAAAACCTTATA